AAACTTGATATTTTGCAAAAAATATCAATTGTACAGAACTTTTCGAATGGTAGATCCACCAATTTGTAAAAGCTCGTTTGTATTGATATGATGGGTGAGTTGCGCTGCTATTTCAGTTAATCAGCATATGGTACTTTTATTTGTAGAATATTCGAGGGTTCCTAAAATTATTTATAACAATTCGATACCTGTTTTCGATGTAATTTTTACAGATACAGAATACGATGGTATAATTATATTAGTTGTATAGTTTGAAAAAATAGAACTAGAACCAAAAAACCTTTAATAAATCAAAAAAATTTTCTGACAAATTCGAATTATCGTTTCTAGCAATTTGCAGTTCAGTTTTGCAACAAATTATACCATATATATATAGTGTTCTGCGATAAATAATACTTGAAAAACACGTATCACATTGTTAAAAAAATTATTTGAAAATCTAAGAATATCAGCAAAGCAAATTCCATACGTCGATCGATCCACAGGCGAAAGTTTTCCTCCGAATTCCTCGACAATCCATGAAACGTTTTTTTCAACTCATATACGTACATGACTTTAACGTAGTTTTCTTACGAAGAATACGATGGCGAATTTAGTTTCATGAGTTCGCCCGTATCCTTCATTCAAATTGAAAAGCTTGCCGAGTTTATGCTGTTATGCCGGGTACTAATTTTCTAAAACCGAGTTACGTCTTTAAGCATCGTTGTTTACAAGGGTTTAAATCTTCTGCTTACAAATAAATAAATACGCGCCGATCATTTTCCAACGAATTTTTATGGTGGCTAGTATGGATGGGTACGCAGTATACGTGACATTAATATAAAAACTTTCTTCTTTCGCAATTATTTTTATTTGTAATTTTTTCCACAAACAATTAACACAAAAATCACATGTACCCCGGAGAGGTGCTCATTTGTTTTTACTTATTACTCACTATGCATAGCCCTTTTTCCCGAGCCTGAATTCCGTCCAAATCTATTGCAAGGGCAGTCTACGCTAGTCGTAAGCTTGTTACAAAACTCCGACTTCGCCTGCATTTCCACCAGCCCTACGTTCGTCCGTTCTATTGCACACAGCCCTCTGCTCATCCGTCTTATTTCGATGTAGCCCTCGGCTGGCAAGCCCTTTTAGACGCAATCCTTCGCGCGTTCGCCTTGTTTCACACGGCCCCCACCCGTCCGTCTCATTTTACTCTGCCTTCCACTCGTCTGCCCTATTTCATCAAGCCCACAGCTCGTTTCCCCTTTCCGACATAGCCCTCCGCTCGTCCGTTCTATTACGACCCGCCCTCAGCTCGTCCGTCACATTTCGACGTAGCTCCCAGCTCGTCCGTGTTATTTCGCCTTGACTTCCGCTCATCCGCCCTATTCCGCCCAGCCCCCAGCTCGTCTGCCCTTTTCGACGTAGCCCTCTGCTCGTCTGCCTTTCATGACGCTGCCCTCTGATCGTCCGTCTTATTTGGACGTCTCCCTTTCATCGTCCATCTAATCTCGAGGAATCCCTACCACCGTCCGTCTTATTTCGACGAATCCCTCCCACCGTCCGTCTAATTTCGACGCAGCCCTCTGCTCGTCTGCCCTTTATGACACAGCCCTCCGCCCGTCTTCCCCATTTTACACAGCCTTCCGCTCGTCTGTCCTGTTTTAACATAGCCCTCTGATCGTCTACCCTTTTGGACGCAGCCCTCCCTCGTCCGTCTTATTTTACACAACCCTCCGATCGTCAGTCTTGGTTTAACATAGCCCTCTCATCGTCTGCCCTTTTGGATGCAGCCCTCCACTCATTCGTCATATTGTGACCTAGGTCTCTGCTCGTCTGCCCTACATCACTGAGCCCTCCGCTCGGCCGTCCTATTCTGACGTAGCCTTCTGCCCGTCTGCCCTTCTAGACGCAGCCCTTCGTTCGTCTACACTTTTTAACGTTGCCCTCGCTAATCTGCCTTTTTACATTTCCGCACTGGACTCATACCCCTTTATCGTAGCAACACAAGGCTCGTCCGCTCCTTTTCAGAGCAGGACTGGGCTCGTCCGCCCTCATCAGAACAGCGCTCGGCTCCTTTGACTTTTCCCGAACAGCACTGGACTCGTCTGCTATCTTCCCAGCGCCGTTGCTTCGCTTGTCGTATTTTCAGTCATCACTGCGCTCGTCTGACCTGCTTAATCAAGTCCCAGCTTTCTCCTGCCTATTTCTAAGGCCGCGCCATGCTCGTCTTCTTTTCCTCCCCGAGCCTCTGTTATATGTGACCTTTTTCTCAGAGTAGCTTAGCGCACGTCTACCCTCTTCGCCTAAACCTCGGCATCATCAGAATTTTTACTTGCCCCTCGTTTCGTTCGCAGCTTTTATGACGCTGCACTGTGGTTTATTATGATCATGGAAGAGCAAAAATCTTATGACCGTCGATTTCGGCTCTAAAAAAATTTTGAAAGCATCATGTTTTTTCCAAAAAAAGTTTTTTCCATTGTATTTTTTGTTGTTGACCCCGAATCTAAAGTCAAATTGCCAGTTTGACAGTTAGCAGTTGTCATGACAGCTGTGATGACAATTGACTTCAAACTCGCGTCCAGGAAACGCGAAAACAGTAGGGGGACTTTTTCTGTTTCCGCGTATCAAATTTTGTCGAACTTTTAAGTTGTCGAAACAATTTAATTTCAGATTCGTGTTCAGCGATGAAAAATACAATGGGAAACACATTTTCGAGATCGAAAAACAATTATGGAGCGTACAATTGCCAGCGCGACCTTGCTGAAAGCGAAAACCTGAATTTCCCAGGTTTTGACTGTGAGCTCGAGAAAAAGTATCACACCGAACTTTGTAATCGCAAAAATCGGTATCCTTTTTCATTCAAGGCCCTTCAAGGTACAACTTGCTGCTTTCAAAATTTTTTCAGAGCCAAAATCGACGGTGATAAGATCTTTGCTTATTTTAAATTCAAAATAAACCTCAATGGGCCGCCCCGTCTGCGTCCGCAATTCTCTTAGGTCGCACTGCGTTCGTCTGTCCTCATGCCCCCCAGCCTCATTCCCCGTTTCGTTTATTCTTCTCAAAATCCGCATCTTCGCCACATCCACTACTCTCTCCGAGCAGCCTGGCACCTTGGCTTATTACGGATCTTCTTTCGTATGTCGGTTTTTTAAACGATGAAGTTACCATGTGGAACAGGACAACGAGAGATCGATTTTAGAAAAAATTATGGAAATTTGTTTTTGGAATTTCTTTTCACCGAAAAGTGGCGACGACTTTTATAATTTTCAGTTTTTTATTATTTATAATTCTTAATTCAACTTAGAAAAATTGATGTACACACATTTACGCACTTTATGAAAAGCGTTTCGCTTCTCAGACTACGACTTAAAGTTCTAATGGGTTCTACAGTAATCCTAACTATTTTGATCATTGTAGCTTGCTCGTTAGATTTATAATAATATTTCAGAAATGCGCAATGTATTGTAGATCTAGTCTTCAGCATTCGATATTTTCTTTATAATTATTATGTGCTGGAAATAATTTCATGACTAATGATCATTACTGAAATTCAAATTTCACTTACCTGATTCGAGGCGCCGAGTTGCTGCAAGCCATCGTAGCGAGCAGCATTTTTGTTTAAGAGCCGCCTACTTACCAAAACGCGTTTTTTCTCGGAGATTTAAAGCTCCTTCTGTTATAGGCTCTATTAGAGTCTCACCCATAGTCTCAAATTCAGATGTGATACGATTCACACGCGTGAGAAATTTTAGGATGGATTTCCTTTGTGTGACTAGTGTAAATCGTCTCGCACACGCGAATTGAGACTTTAATCCAAGTGTGATGACACATCAGGAGTGAATTTCCCGCATGGAAATTTTCAGCCGAGCGTTGTCAGTATTTATTTATTATTATTTTATTTCTTAATCTTAAAAAAACGGATAACCAAGCTAATTGGAAACACACTGTACGCCTCTACCTATTGATCTCAATTTTCTCAAACGCAGAAAAAAGCAATGATGTAGTAGCTCATCACAGCGATTTTCAGCATTAAATGAACATAATTCTTAAGTAAGACAGCGAGTTTGAATTCGACGACCACGAATACTAAATAACCTACTTCATAAAATAAACACAAAAGCTTTCACGTGCATCATTGTTATTAGTCAATCGGTATTGAACCGTTCTTTTTATTGATGCGCGTTCAATCAATGAATACATATATCAGTATGTAGACATGGGAGCTTCGTGTTGCACGATTGGGTCGAGCACCACTTGCAAACAGCGACGGTGCCCGCCGCTGGCCCCCCTCACTGCTTCGCGCTCGCCACGAAGCGCCCGTTCTTCTAAAGCTGTGCGCTCATTGGCCGATCTTTGAAGCTAATTATCTAATTACCTAATTATTTAATCGAAAAACTAAGAACAGATTTCAGAATTAATTTTTCGAGAAGAATCGAATGGAATTATTAGTTACATATGTTTTTGAATCACCCTGTATATATATATATATATATATATTGTAACGGGGTCTGCCCGCACTCGTAGTGTTCAGTATCAAGTACGGCTCCTGCTGGCTTGGATCAGCTCGTCTCGGTACTTGGGAAAGCTCGGGAACTATCGACTATCCCACCTTGCACAGCTTAGCGACCGGGTGCTAATCTTCGATTCCTCTCAGGCAATATCGATAGCAGATCGTCGACTGCCTCATTTTCATATGCGTGCGTACCGTCCCGTCGCGTGCCGAATTCCCTCGTCACATTTTCCCCAACCGGTAGGTGCTGCCCTCGCGGGTAGCCGCATGGTTGGGCCGTTAGCGGTAATAAGACGTTTACCGTCACAATATAAATAAATTTATAATTTATTATTTTACTAATCGAATTAGGTTTTAGATTTTTGTTGAACTTTCAAAGATTTGATAGAGTTATTTTTCTATTATACATTTTGTTGTGAAAAGTATACTTAAAATAAAATTTTACTGATATCATGTAATACTCTATTAGCTCTAGTAGCTCAATACTCTAGTAGCTTACGTTTTACAGTCTTGAAAAAAGCTTTTGATGCATTTGATCACGAAAAGAAAGGTTGTATAGGAACAGATATGGTTGGGACTATTCTAAGTATGCTTGGATATGACCTTAGTGAAGCTACTTTGAACGAAATTATTGCTGAAGTCGATGAAGACGGTAAGTTGACAAGATATATAACATCTACTTTAATTGAAAATCAAGATCTTTACCATTGAGTAGATTTATTTTTATCAATACTTATCCTCTCAATAAATAATCGGCAATTAGTCTGAATTTTCTTAGCTTCATATAAATGGTATATGAAGTCTATCCGGAAAGTGTCGACCTACCTTTATATCACCGCGCCAAATTAATCGAGCGAACTCTGCAGGGTATGGATTTCAACAGTAAAGCCTTATGAACTTATCGTATGCTTGGTGACTTCTGCCTGACGTATAGTTTATGCGAAGCGTGTCTTTGATTACAAAGCTATTTTTGAATTCGGCAGATTTTGTGATTTTTGAAAATGACTGAAAAATAAGAGATCTGCGAATTGTGTTTGCTCAAAAACTGCTGCACAAGATTGGATGAATGCGCTGGTGCATTATCGTGATGGAGAAGACAGTCACTATTTTCCCAAAAGTGTGGCCGTTATCTTCTTACTGCTTCACGCAAAAGTTTCAAAATTTGAACGTAGTATTCTTTATTGATTGTCTGACCTGTTGGTGCATGTTCGTGATGTACAACACCTTCACAATCGAAAAAAACAATCAACATTGACTTAAAATTGCTCCGAATTTGACGTGCTTTTTTTGGACTTGGTGATTCAGAATGCTTCCACTGTAAAGAGTTGAAAGCAAAATTTGATGAAAATTCGTTGATCTTGTTTTTCAGTCATTTTTGACAATATCAAAATTCGACGAACGCGAAAAAGGCACTGTAAACAAAGTCACGCTGCGCATGAACTATACATCCGACAGGTGTGAGTAAGTAACCAATAGATTCGTGAGGCTTTACCCTTGACGTTTCTGTCCGGTAGAGGTCGCTCGAACACTATGGCGCGAAGATATAAACGTAGGCCCAATACTTTCCGGACAGACCTCGTAAGGAGTTCATGTTCTGAGGTGTAATAAAGTGATTCCTCTCCTAACCAGAGCGATTGGATGACCTCTGAAAGTCAGCGCCGGCTTTTTTTACTGGGATAGAGTCCTGAATAATTTTAGCAGAGCTCGGCCCAGAAGCACGGTGGCCAACAACTCTCGCATGGCATCCCTTGTTTGATTTCGGCAGGTACAGCTTTTTGTATCGCTTTATTCTGGTTGGATAAAGAGAGGTAATGGCGGAGAATTTCCTTTGTATTAAGTGTTGAGCAGTGCGGTGACTTAGTTGATCTTTGATTTCCGGTAAATTCACGGAGCTGCGAGCGAGCGACGTTGAATATATTTCGTAAAATTTTATTAGTGATATTTTATTTATTTTAAGTTTATTGTTGTGTCGTCGACATGTGTGGCTTATATTACGCTGAAGCTCGGAGCTAGTAAAATGGGCAGAAGCAAAAGTCGCTGTATTTAGATCGAGCGATTATGCTGTAGAGCAGAGCGTGCTGTTATTTCATAGATAGCGACTGTATGAGCCTAGTGTTTCGGCTGTAGGTGAAATTTGTGTGTGATTAATTTATAGTGCTCAATTTATGACATGCGAAGGTCGTAACAGATATTTCTCGACTGTAACGAATTTCCGATAGATAATATCTGATTAAGCGTGTTTACAAGCAGCGTTAAAGATTTTGTATTATGCATTCATACCACAGTCACCGCTACTGTTAAACATTGCTCGCGTACGTTAATATGTTCTCAGAAACATAGAAAACGAGCGTATTTAGACCTGTTTGAGGTGGAATAGGTCAAAGAAGTTGAGTCGGCTTGGTGTTTATTTTGTTTATCACGCGAGGTCGAGGGTAATACCATGCCGGTGACGAGATCGCTCAACATCAGAAAACGTTAGAATCGCGGCTGCGGCCAGAAACTTTTATAAGGAGAACCATGGAGATCCCCGTAGTTAAATCGATATGGGAGCGCATTCAGTGAATGCAACTCCAAGAACTTCTGACCTGAATGACCGCGAACAGATTATTCACGGATGGTACGACTGCGATCATGCAGAATAAGCCATTTCATGCGTGTTTGTATAGCGTGCGTCATGAATCGACTCCGCCAGTGAGGGCTGATAATTTCCTATTGGGAGAAATACCGACCACCGTTGATGTGAGAATCGCATAATCGGCGTGGGCTGAATTGCTGTTGGGGACTTTCATGGCAGGTATGAGCGCAGACATGAGCGCTCGACAACAATTGTGCAAGAGCATGCAGCGCGGTCATGCTCACGCTATCTGAGACGTAAGCTCACGTCACAGATGGTGCTATCGCACATGAAGGGGTGCGCAGACTGAATACGAGAGCGGTATTGCATCTCTCGGTACCGGTAGACTTCGCGCTAGCATAAGTCGTGCAAACCTGTCTTGAAACCGAGATCGCGCGACCGCGCGCGAAACGACGACCGGAGAGTTTTCACAAGCAGGAGCTATCGGCGCGGCAGCGACCACTGCGCAGGCTGAGCGTTTTGGCCAACATGGTGGTGGTAGCACCCAGGGTAGATAATTTAGATAATGTACCAAGACGAACATGAGGGCGTATTGCAGACAGCAACAACATGTGAGCTTGGAAATACCAGCACTCGAGTGTGTGGATGCGATAACGCGCAGTCTGAACCTAAATACCCCCCAATCAAGATGGATCGCTGAGGACGCGACCGAGAGCGCATGATCGTGGTAAATCAGACGAGAAAATAACGAGAAACGGAAACCTATGATACGGATTATGACTCGGCGCTCTATGATGACGGAACGCGACAAGAACGCGCGTCAGACGAGGAGCGTGCAGGAAAACCAAAGTACCAATTTATCAACGGACGACTGACGAATGCGGTTACGGTGTTGAATAGATGGTCGGTAGCGTTTACGAGGAAGGTCGGACTGACGGTAGAGCATTTTCTGAAACAATTGCATAAGGTATAATCGTTTTATAAATTTGGCGACATGGAGATATTGTCGACACTGATGATGTCATTTACTAGCGTAGAGACGGCTTTCTGGTGGGTGAAGAATCGTTCGAGCTGAGACTTTTACGACGCGCTGCGCCGCCGAACACAAGATAAACACGAGCCATTAGATGAATATATCATGACTTTTCTGTACATCGCAAGTAGGCTAGAACCGAAACTTTTAAAACGCAGGTAGCTCAAATTGATTAAAGGTAATGTGTACCCTGAAACTGCATAGGTGTATTAGGTCGAAAAAGGTTGAAACGCTGAAAGATCTTCGCGATTACGGGGGTAAATTTGAATGCAGACGCGATATTTGTGATTGATAGTAACCGACGCCAGCACCGCAGGAGTCGCTGAGGGCTGAAGTCGCGTGCTGCGGAAGTTCGTCTAAGGAAATCGTGAAAACAAGTTGCCACGTAAGCATGAATTTTGTGGTGAGAGAACAAGTCTCTTCGGTGGAGAGTAAGAATAAAAAGGAACAACATGAAATAAAAGGTAAATCGGCAACGAAATTCTCGAACGTCAAAAAATTGACTCAGCGAGAGGCCGCGAACTCGTCGAAAGGACTATCGATAGACGTGGTAGCCGCGTTGTCGAAATTAGTTCGGACACAGAAAGGCGCGCCGAGAGAAAGCGCGAATAATGCAGCGAATAACGAAGCAGATTCCGCACCTAGCAGAACGTATACCACAGATGCGGGGGGCTAGGTCATTGGAAGGCCGAGTGCCCGAGTCCAAAGAGCTTGCCATCAGCACGAATGAGCACGAAGCCGTCGGGAGCTGCGGACACGAGTGGTCTCCAACTAATCTGCGGGTCGCAACCGAGGAAAGGGCCCAGTGCACTGATACAAGTGCCAACAACTAGGCCATTATGCAAATAGGTTCTAAATGCCAGGGCTGTTGTATGGAAAAAGGCACGTTGGAAACGTGCCCACAATATCAGGTTTGACCTTGGAAAACCTAAAAGCGAAATTCAGTTCCCCGACGGATTCCGCGTAATTACGCGTAGTAAGGCGCCAAACTGAGGGAAAATTGAGTTCATGAGGCCATTTTATAGCAAGTTTGTGGAATTACGAGAACAGGTTAAGCTGGAACAAACTGACCTAGACGTGAATGACCCGAAGACTAAGGTCTGGGTGCAACGCGAATGCGTGAATGAGAAAATTGGGGAAAGTTCATAGAAAGAATACGATTGCACCGGATTCAACGAACAGCGGTTGAGATTGCGTGAAGCAGATTCTGAGTGCGAGGAGATAGAACGTGCGCATGAGTCAGGGAAGAAGCTGGATGCAGGCAAAAACCGAGGAAATAGCTGAGGTGATCTGACACTCGAGTGCGGATCGATAGGTGAATCGATGAGAATGAGTGGAGTGGATAGGCCGGACAGGAACTCAAAGGAAACTGCGTAAACCACACGATTTTTGAGCAGTTTGAAGGAAAATGTGGCGCGCACGCGGCAGGTGCCAGAACAGAGTCAGATTGCAAGGCTGCTACAACAGATCGTGAGATCAGAAACTAACGACTTTAGCGATGTAGATAAGACGTTGTCGCGATCCATCATCTCGTCTAGGGAGTTTATGGTGCTGAGTGGCTAGGTAGCAGTCAGAGCGATACAGATGGAGTCAGTTTTGAGAGCGTCAGACGACTAAGGGTAGAAGCCGGCGCGCGAGGATTTGGTGGGTAAGTCAATGAGTGAGAAGTGATATGAGTTAGCGGAGGCCGGTGAGAGTTTCTCGCATCTGTGCGTACGAATGTGCTTGGGCAAGATAAAAATGGACGTGGTCATCAATCGCGCGTTATTAGTAGTCGGTATCGTGGGGAGACCGTATAGTACACTATATGACTCATGAGCGATGGTTACTATTGTTGGCTCGAGCATACATCGTAATTTCGCGGACCGAACCAAGCTGTGCTATGTCGCGTTATTCGGGTTTTCGGGTGCAAAGGCCAAGATCATAGGGAAATTTTAACTCAGGATCGAAATTGACGAAGTGACACGGGTAATTGCAGTGTAATTGGTTGTTGAACAATTGTTGAAAATACAATATGATAATTGAAATGGATTTGATCGATGAG